CATGATGACACACAGGTTGTGGGGCGGCGCGGCCCTGAAAAAAAATTGTGCGGGCAATGTCCTAATTTTGGCTGGGCGTGGGAAGTTCGATTCACGCCCTCCCCAACTTTTTTTTTTTTTGGCTGACCCCAAATTTTGCCCATGCGGCGCACAGGGTGCGTGCGCCAGGTGCGCAACGCGCAGTGCGCCACACGTGCGCAAGTGGCGCGCACGGGATGCGCCGCAAGTATGGTTGAAAATATGGAATGAACGTCTGGACAAGTTTATGAAATGTCTTAATTAAACTTTCACGCTAATTAGGATTGGATTGACCTATTAATGACTGAAACTCCTTATAATAAAATGATAGTCGAGTTTTAAAAATCCATAAACTCGTCCATACTTTCATTCTATCTCTAGCATGTAGTTCAAACAAGAATGGATACTCCATACTTGGAAGGAAAGTTTTCAAGTAAGACGGAAAATTTTAAAAGTGGAATCCCATTTTATAAGACGGAAATTTTTTTGGGGGGGGGGTCCCTTAGTGGTGCGTAGACCCCCCCCAATTTCTTTTTCTTTTTTCCTTTTTTTGGGCCAAAACGATGTTGTCTGGGATCCCGGACAGCTTGAACTCCCCCTGACTGTCTCCCAGAGACGTGCGCGGGAGACGTCTCCGGATCGGACAGCTGGCAGCCTAGCTTTTTTGTTTTTTTTTCAAGAATAGAAAATAATTTTTGATGGCACTCATGGTACATGAATGACCTGCTCGTGGAAAAAGCAGGGAGAAAAAAAAAAAAAAGGGAAAAATAAAATAAAATCGAAAAAAAAACAAATGTGGACCCCCGCCCACTTGAAGATTTAGGCACGGCTCACATGTTTTTTTTCACCTTTTTTCACGTTTTCTGTCTTTTTTCAAGAATAGAAAATAATTTATTATTATTATTATTATTATTATTAATGATGGCACTCACGGTACATGAATGACCTGCTCATGGAAAAAGCAGGGATTTTTTTTTTTTGAAAAAGAAACAAATGTGGACCCCCGTCCATTTGAAGATCTAGGCACGGCTCACATGTTCTTTTTCACCTTTTTTGTCTTTTTTCTAAGAATAGAAAAAGGTTTTCTGATGGCACTCATGGGGTACATGAATGACCTGCTCGTGGAAAAAGCAGCGAGAAAAAGAAGAGGGGAAAAAAAATAAAAAAATGATAAAAATCAGAATTTCGGAAAAGAAATGTGCTCCATAATGTCCCGCCCTCCAGGTAACTAGAATTCTAGTGTTAATCACGCTTCTAGTGTTAACCATGCTTCATAACTAGAAATTGTACGCCTGGAATTCTAGTGTTAACCATGCTCCTACTATGCCCAGTGCAGGAGTAATACAATTAAATTATAACTGCCAGTACGTTTCCCAGCTGAGTACGGACGCCGCCCGGCTGGGCGGGGCCCGGGTGGGTGGCCCGGAAAAACCGGGCAGGCAAAAACACAGCCCGGAAATATATATATATTCTTTTTGAAGGCGGGGTCCCCCTGTGCTCGGCGAGAGGACCCCGAATCTGCAATAAAATTCTGGTTTTTTGGGGGGGGGAGGTTCTGGGTGTTGGGGACTCTACATTTATGTTGCCTGCTGTTTGCTGCATGTGTGATACCAAGTACATACTGGGGTGGGGGCTCTCCGATGTCTGCATGTTTTTGTGGGTTTGACAGGCCGATATGTGACCATGATGAGGAGGAGAGAAGATGAGGGGGAGGCGGAGGAGGAGAGAGCACAGCAGTTTTTTTTTTTTCTTTCTTACCTGTCGTTTATCTCGCGACCTATCGCTGACGAATGGAACAAAAAAAAAAGAAGAAAAACAAGATAGTCGGAAGAGGAGGAGGAGGAGAGAAGAAGAAGAGGAGGAAGAAGAAGAAGAAGAAGAAGGAGGAGGAGGGGGGGGGCTAGGGTTACGGGGGCGGTGGAGGGGAATGGCGGCGCGGTATGCCGTTAGGGTATGACGGTCCAAGAAGAAGAAGAAGAAGAAGATTGGCGGAAGAGGAGGCAGAGAGAAGAGGAAGGAGAAGCAGATGAGGGGAAGGCGGAGGAGGAGAGAAGAAGAAGAAGAAGAAGAAGAAGAAGAAGAAGAAGAAGAAGAAGAAGAAGAAGAAGATGGCGGCGGCGGCAGGGCGGTAGGGTATGGTGGCGGGGTATGGCGGCGGGCTGCAGCGGCGGTCCTGCAAGAAGAA